AAGATGTCTTTAAATAGCTACACCACAAACACACACTAAAAACACACACATTTAATAAGACACTCTCGAGGTCGCCACGGAATTCGCGAACTCGCAGGGCATGGATGGCACAGGCGCACGGGCGCGGAGGCACTCTCGATCACGCCGGGGGCTTCGCGGGCGCGCGGGGCGCGCATGGGAGCACTCGCGAGGTCGCCATCTTCTCCGCGAGGGCGCGGGCAACCAAAGCTGGGCACTCTCGAGCTCGCCATCTTCTTCGCGAGCACGCAAGCGACCAAATCTGGGCACTCTCGAGCTCGCCATCTTCTCCGCGAGCACACGGGCGTGTGAGGGGCAGCAGTGGGGCAACACTCTCGAGCTCGCCATGCTTTCTGCGATCCCGCCGCGTGTGCCGGTGATCCCTTGTCACTCGATTTGCTCTAACTTATCACCCGGTTATCCGATTGACTCGAAACTTTGACCCACGCTTCCCAAATATTTTTCTCCTCATCTTGGAATGCTCAAATCGATATTGCCGCGTAAATAACATATATGCTTGGAAACGGCTCGCGTGGCTCGGATATGGTTCGGACGGCTCGGAAATGTCTCGGAAATGGCTCGTCTTCCCAAGATCGAGTAATGTGGACCTAGACAACACCAAAAAGACAAGAAAAGTACGCCGAACCACAAAAAAAAACGAGAATAAAAATGCACAAAATACGATAAAATAGACCGGTCGGCACTAAAACGAGCCTAAAACTTATAAAATAAAACACACAAGACACACAAAAATAACAACAAAAACACAATAAACATTGTACGATTGTTAACAACAAATTTGTATGTGATTAATCGAGTGTTTAGAGTAGTAAGGTGGTTTGGCCCCTACTATTGCTATCGCGGACACAATAAACATTGTACGATTGTTAACAACGAATTTGTATGTGATTAATCGAGTGTTTAGAGTAGTTTAGACATAAAACATGCATTAAAAACACGAGCAATGGCCCCGGTCCGAGGTGAACCGAGGTGAAAGGTGTTGAGCTTTTTGATATATATGTTCAATGTTCAGAGAGCGATCCTTGTACAAGAGTAAGAATTTGCTATTTATAGTATCTTTTCGGGCCCGTATCTCGAGGTGTACGATCGCTTTTTTGTAAAGTGGCTTTGTGTTGGGCGGCCATGTGAGCGGGTCCCACTTGAATGATGAGATATCTTGTGGTGTGCGAAGGTGTTGTGTATGCGCCTTATCACCAGCTTCGGGTATGGTGACCTCGGTTGGCGGTCACCTCGGTCTTCAACGAGCGAGTCAGTTTTACTCGTGATGGGCCGGAGTTCGATTGTAACGTGAAATGATGGGTCGAAAAATGTGCACGTTTTAGAGGTTTAATAGTGTATTTTTATATGTTTAATTTATTCGCACCATTGTATTTTTCGACCTATTTATTATTTAGATGAATTCATATACATTGATATTTTTATGTTTATTTTCAGTATTTTGGAGTATTTTGTGGATGGCGAAATATTGGA